GTATGCATGGTTTGCAGAAACGTACGACGCCAGCATTTTGTTCTGCTGGCTGCAAAACCAGTGTAGTCCTTTAAATGGAGCAAATCAAACAGAGATTATGTAATGAGGAAAGCGTATGTAACGATTTGTTTGTCTTGAAATGATTAACCAGAGACTCACTAGTGACACTTAGTGGCCGAACCAGAGAAAGCTCCACATTTACACAGCAGTAAGAACACAATGTTCAAACCAACAGAGGCTTCACTGGGACACATTAACTGTACTGTACGTTTACTGTACAAAGACAAACCTCACCATCACTGTGGTCCACTGACGTCTATTCTCTAAGGTGACGGAGTCAGCACGTCCTGACTCTGTGCAGCTTTAGCATTGAAAAGCAGGGCTGCTGCAGCAGCAGCGTGTTTGTTGCAAAAACATTTTCCTTTGTGTAAAATTATAAAGAGATGTAAACTGCAACATGTGGAGTTGCTTCAGTTCATCAGGCTCTTTTGTTCAGGTCTGGATGGGACGGTGGGGGAAAGTAGCCAACAGCATGAATGTAGAAAGGTAAAGCTGTGAGTCATCTGCATATCGTGGCATCGACATTCTCACTTTTCAAAAAACTGTCTCGCAAAACATATTTTAAGGATAGTTTTAATAACCATGAGTCCTTCAGAAAAGTGGTGTTTAAGTAGAGTTAATTTAGTTTTCCCAATTTATCTTCAGAGGAATGCTTAATTTGGCTGTCCCTAAACAAAGCTGGAATTTAAAGGGACCTTGTACAGCAATACATCTGGGCAAATGTGAATTCCTGATAACCCAAATAAATCAAACCAGGACATATTTTAGTTTTCAGGAAATAACAGTAATTTCTGTCATGTTTAAGGACATGTTCACATCTAAAAAGCTCCTTTGTCGATTTCCAATTTTTCCAAAAACATTGAGAGTGCTAGATTTCCTAACTCTATTCTTTCCATTTAGTTGCAAGTGCTTTGCACCTTATCAAGCTGATTAAACCAGCCAACAAACACCCTGACATAAGTGTAAACAGAGCAGGAGTTTGTGTTCAAAATGCAAAACTGTTGAGTGCTCCGTTCACCTATCAGGATGCCACATAACTCAACCTACGACTCGTATCAAAGCTTATGAGTTTGGTGAAGTATAACTTGCACCATTTGATATTTTGACGTCTCATTTGCTTTTAGTTTATTGATGACAATGACAAGTTTTCAGTCCGATCACAGCCTGACTAAACTGTGCAGCTGGTTGAGCTAAACTGAGCACCTGATGAGTGCAAAGCGCTGTAGTTATCATCAGTATAATGTTGAAGCTGATTTCACGGGCACAAAAAGAACAGTTATCAACAGCAGTGTGCAGGAGCAACCACAAAGTGTTTCCCTTAGCCGAGGCTGCAGAGCACAGAGACAGACTCAGAGAGATACTGAAACAACAAAGTTCAGTTTGAGGGATTTTACTGTCAGTCTGAACTCCAAACAGACACAATCAGAGTGACAGGCCAGTCGCCTGAAGAAAATGTCGGCATTGTTCATTTCTGCAAACCACAGATTTGTACGTTTCACATTTCTAAAGTGATGTAGTATATGAGCTGACTTTGTCATGGAGGAGGACTGGTTGTGTTCTAGCAAGCGTTTGTCCTCCAGCAAATATTTAGCCACCAAACATGCGTGTTTCTTAGCAACCTCTCACTGTTTTTCCAGCTAAGATTGTGTCTCATAAAGCGGTCGTTTTTGCTGAGACATCAGTGCATTTCCAGCAGTGGGCATTTTCACCCAAAACACAATCTAACCATGACCAAGTTGTTTTTATGCCTAAATAACTTCATGTTAACCTCAGTGTTGTTAAATCACACAGAAATATAACATTTAGTTTGCAGAAAGGTGCAATGCCAACATTTATTCTGGCGACTGGGTTGATAGTGAAGAGTCAGGTTTTTCACCAGAGCAAACAAAGTGTCTCACTGTGCAGCTTCACAGGCTGGTGGATTTCAAAAGTCAAGAACAAAATTTTGGATTTTACCAAAACTTTAAGAGTTGAACGCACAGTTAAACACATTTGTAGGGAAAGTGAAGGTTAAGTGGTAATGTGATGCTGAAAGGATATATTGTACAGCTCTAAGTTGGTGTATATTAGAGCTATGTTTGTCAACGGCTAACTTACAGAAAATAAATTTGCTGTTATGTTACATGACATGGAGGGTTATCCCCTGAAAATTACTGTAATAATTCATTTCATTATAAACAACAAAAGTCCATGAGTTTTCCAAAATTTTAAATGATTTTTAGGAATTCCATGACCTTCCCAGGCCTGGAAAATGAGACTGAAATTCCATGACTTCTCCAGGTTTCCCATGATGGTGGGAACCCTGCTGAGCTCTGCTAATACCTGTGTGTTTTATGTCCAGAATATACATCATTTATACTCAAGTCTTCCTGGAGCTGTAAAACAAACATTTGTCTAAAAAAAACTGTGAATGTTGACTCATGATCATAAACTCCGATACATGTTTGTGAGTTACAGATTTAGATGCAGCTTTGGACCTCCACAGTTGGAGTTGGACTTATCTGTATATTCACCTGCGACTGCGGCCACTTCGTCGACAGAAACAAAAACAAAGCCTCTCACTGGCTCTTGAACTTTTGATTCCACCAGTCCCTGAGGTGTAAACATGCCTCCACAGATTATTCCTTTGACTCGTCTGTATGAACACTTGTTTGAGCGTCTCGTCTCCAGCAGCCTCGGCCATCAGAGTGTGTGAGCGTGTTCATCTCTCTGTATCAGTGCGCTTACAGAGTGTAAAGAGACATTAACACAGGAACCATTTCCACACAGAGATAGGTACACTGTTTACATATTGCTGTTTTCAGTTACACTTCGAGAGAGATTTTTAACATTAAGCGAACACACGTAAGTTCAGTTTAACTTGTGTTTTTGTTTCGTCTTTTCGCAGATGCTCACATTCACAAAAGGAAGCAAGGTCTTATTTAAACGGAGAGAAAGAGAGGGATAAGAGAAGAGGGGAAGAGAATCAGAGAGGAAAACTTTCACAAATATCATGGACTCTCTGGAGAGTTTATCCAGGGTTTAAATTTCTGTGTTAGGAAATTAAAAACCTTGAGATGACAGAGATGATGAAGGGAAACGAGCGGTATTACTATTATAAACAAATACTAATTTCCCAATGGATTAAAGCTGATATTAACTTTAAATTAAGCTTATTTTCAGACGCGAGTGTGACGGCAGCAACGCAAAAACATTAATATCACATGTAGCAGGGCTGAAAACACCTTTTTTGATTTTAGATTGCATTGGAAAAAGAATAATCATTTTGGGTCTGTTAGCACTTTTGGTTAACTACAGATTGCAGCTCTTTATAAGATTTCTATAATATACTGTATTTTAAATGTAACTAGATGGACTAATGTTTCTATTTGGCAACACACTGATTAATAATGACAGTTGTTCTAAGGCATTCAGTCACTATAATGTCTAACTACAGTTCGTCATCTAAAACGACTAAATGAACAGATTGTTTTTTCTTCTTCTAAGTGATGAAGCAAAAAGTTACTGTTTAGATTTGTTGTTTAAGAAACATCAAATTCATCTTACAGTAATAAAATGGCACCCACATCAACTTCAGAGCAGCGTTCCCTGAACAGTATGTGACGGGAGACACAGAGCCTGATTACACCTGGTACTGGCATGCGTTTCCATAATCAGAGGACAAGTGGACAGCTGAGACGCATCACCGTCCACTCTGGTGTCTGTCATGCGTCTGCAGCTGAACACTTGTGTTCAGATTTCGAAGGGGCCCGTGCACAGTTATTAAGTCCACATGTTCACCAGTCATGCTAGCGGCTGTGTGCCAGCGGAATCCAATGGAACGATGGATGGTTAGCACACTGTCACCAAAGCAACCACCATGTCCTACACTGATGACGCAGTCCTTGTCGTGGCGCATCAGGAAGTGTTAGCTTTCACACCACAGATGACATGTGGTCAAATGCATCCCTGACAAGTGGTTTGAGTGACCGCATCACAATGTGTCTTGGTGGTTGTTTGTGTTTAGCGCTGTCCACTTGTGATAACAGGTATAAACAGGCTGATAGAGACCAAGAACTTTTTTGTTTTCTAAGGCTTAAATACATGAGATAAAAAAATATAACTGACTGTGAGACTATGATAAAAAACGACAAAGTCAGTCGTTGATTAACTGGTTTCAGTTTGACATCTGAGATTAAAGCATGCAGGTGATGAAAATTGTTCACACGCAGTCCACAGTTATAACGACTGAGTTCTTGGTCTCAGGTGAGAAGCGAGGAAGCAGAAACCAAATCTGGATCCAACATTTTCTACACTTTGAATTTCACACAGTGACTACGCTTACATGCACACTAATATCCTAATAAACAGCATATTTCCTTTGGCTATTCTGAATTTGGCCTTTTCCAGATTAAGATATGTGGGATATGCCAGGAGCATTCTTTGGGCATGTATACATTTGGAATATTTATCTCAGTTGTGGTTTTTGCTGCAGTTGTCAACACTTGGCCTCTTGCCTGTTTAGTCAGCTCTGTGAGTTGTACACAAACCAACTAGCTAACAGTTCACAGGCTGGGGTAGAGATGCATGCCCCATGGAAAAGCCCACATTTGGTCAGGTGGAACGACACACCTACTTTCGAACATCATGAAAGACTTGTCTATCAGCAGGTTTATGGATTTGTGCAAAATCCATTGTGCATATCGCAATGCCGACATTTTCAAGAAGGTGGTTAACGGAATGAGAGAAGGAGGCTGCGTTATCACGAGCCAATGAGTCCACCACCGGTGGGAAAAATCTGAAACTAGAATTACCACTCCATGGTTGTATGCCTCCGTGTACCAGTCCAGTGTCTCTTTTAGTTTCCATCCATGTCTGTGAAAACACGGATGCTTCACACACAGATGTTTCAAGATTAGAGTCACCAATTCAGTACCTGACCAAATGTCTCCCCTTCTGTTCCTGAGATGTGACGTTGAGTAATGGCCAGTTAAGTGTTTTTGCAAAATATTATGATGTCACAGTGAAGCTGACCTTTGACCTTCTGGATATTAAATGTTGTCACGTCATTCTGTGTGAAGTTTTGTCAGAATTAGTGGGTGACTTCCAAAAACATGTTTGGTCACAGGGATCTTTGACCACCAAACCACCAAAGTCTGATCAGTTCATTCTTGAGTCCATGTGGACGTTTTTGCTAATATGAAGGAATTCCCTCAAGGCGTATCACATTCACAAGACTGGTTCAGAGATCGACAAACAACCCCAAAACATTATGGCTCCAGCCACAACACTCACCGGCATGGAGCCATAAAATTTTGACACAAAGAAGCAAAATGGTACAAGCGGCTCCAGCCGTTCTAATTTTCCATATTTTGCCTATAAAAAGATGTTAGAGCACGTCTATCAGAGTATACACGCCTGCATGTGAGCAGGAATATTAGTGAAATATTCATTTATAAATATTACCCATGTAGGAATGCTGTCTTTTTCAGGATAAGGGCATTACTGTGTGCATGTAGTGTATGTTCTGTTTGGGCACTTAAAATTCTCAGTGTGACACAAGTGTGCATTTTGAAGCGTCGCAGGTACTCAGAAGATTAATGCTTCCTCACAACTGTCGGCCTGGTTCGTTGGGCCTCTTCTGGACTCAGACTCATGTACAGTTGTCATTTGTTTGGCAAACCTCACCGTTGTCTGTGTTCAGGTACGCAGGCGGAGTATGTCATGGGATTTAACGAGCGTGCGTACATTTGCGAGCTGCAAACCACGAGTCAAAACATCAGCTTTACAGCCTAATTTTTAGCTCGCTGGTGCAAACCTCCAAATTCGGTGAGACCCAAATCGAGCAGCAGCAAAAACAAAACATGCAGCAGCACAAACAGATGTTTTGTGGTTTATGATATCCTGAAATAAAGACGGACGAAGCTGGGACAATGAGATGAGGACTTGTTGAAACTAAAAGATAAGATGTGTAAAGGGGTGAGGAGAATATTTTAGGGGGATTGCTTTAGCAGAGTTTCGTTAAAGGAATGCAGGACATTTTGATCAGATACAAGGCACTATAGATTTTGCTATAGAACGGCTAAATTAGAGGGATTTGGGCTGAGAGTACGAGAGAAGAGGGTTTCACTATACGAGAAGTCTGAATGGCGACAGTGAACGTCTGAAGAGACTGAAAGAGAGAGGAAAGCGACAAAGTAAAAGATGAAGAGAGAAAGCGGAGAGATCAATCTGGTGGAAGAGGACGAAGGAGGAGGGCGTGGTTAGGACTGCATCTCAGCGCGCAGCATCCACGGAAACCAGCAGCAGAACAGCAACCTGGAGGAGAAGAGGAAGAGAGAAATAAGGAGAGGAAGGGGCATGAGTGTACAGAAGAACAAAAGGAAGAGGAGTTGATGAAGAGAAAGAAGAGCAGGAGGTACAGCAGTTTTCATAAACTGAGGCTCTGTTTACACGCCTGGTAAAAGCTTCTCCATCATACATCCATCTTTAGCTGTGCAAGGTGTAAACGTGAGAATATTTTCCTTCTCTAAACCCACATGGAATATTTTCAGATATTTTTAGGCAGAAGGTCAGACTTGGATGTGAACAGCTGTGTTGTGAACGCAGCCTGACAGGTTTATTATTAGCTGTCAGAGAGTCGATCCTGTCTCTGTGACCTCACCTGGATATGGAGCTCTCAGAGGTCAGGTCTTTAGGAGAACGCATCGTGTTGAAGTTACGCTTCGGCTGTGACACTGCAGAACACAAACAAACAAATGACGGACTTTTAATGATACAGAAACGAGGAGGACGTCACCATTACTTATGGATTTGGGGGTGAACATAAAGGTGAGCCCAGTGATGCTATTTCCAGGTTTATAAATGTACTGTATGCCTCTGATCCATACGTTTTGTATTATTGCCAGGTTTTATTGCCGTTATGCAACACAACATACACAAAATGGCGTTCATAAAAATGAGACAGACAAGGTCACAGTGATCTTGACTAATGACCTTTGACCACCAAAAACTAATCAGTTCATCCTTTCAAATTTGAAGAAATTCCCTTGAGGAATTCTTGAGATATCGTATTCACAAGGAGAGGACGGTGATACAACAACACAATGAAAGATACTTACTGGTGACTTGGTGGACTTTCTTCACCATGGAGCTGTCGTTCTGTGAGCCTTCTTTAGGACCTCCGATTCTGACAGAGCAACAGATTTTGTCAAAGTGAATTAATTAAAAGAAGAAAACTTGACTAAAATAATTGTTAGTCTGGTGTAAAGTGGACCATAACATCGCAGCAGACCTCCACTGGTTTGAACATCACGCACCTATAACGTCCTCACCCGGTGCCTTTCATGCATCAAAGCTGAATTAAAAGTCTTGTTTTGGCAGAATATGATAAGAGGAACTAAAACAATGAGAAACTCTCAGGTTTGTGGTGACCTACCTCTGGACTCGGGAGGGCGGAGCAAACACTCCATATTTGGGCAGGCAGCTGAAGTAGCGGACTCCAAACACTGAGCCGTCGTGTTTTCCTGTCGCCTGATCTAACTCGATTCCAAACCAGTAACCTGCAGGAACACAAACAGCTCAGGTAAAAATTGTTTCATGTTGATAGATTTTGTGTAGTTGTATTTTGAATTAAACAGTGCATCTAACGAGCCTATTGAGCTGTGTGTGCAGTACACAGTATAGACAATGTGCTGAAGCCCAGCAGACAGACCTGGAGCAAAGTCGGTCTTGCCGTAGAAGCGGACGATGCCGTGTTTCTGTCCGGCCACCAGAACCTGATCTCCAACTTCCACGTTGAGTCCCTCTGGATCCAGACTGGCTACTGATGATTTCTTCTTCTGGGCTGAGAACACACAGCAGACAAATATATCGTACCACAGAGATTCACACCTGATTCATCAATAGATAAATGTTCTATTTCAAAACGTGTCCAGTTTGAAGAATTTTGATGTATGACACACAACCTGGACCACATCACTCCTGTGTTACCTTTCTCCCTCTCCTTCTCCTTCTTCTCTTTCTCCTTCTTGGTCTTTCCAGCGAGGCGGGAGGCCAGGTCCATGCGGGGGGTTCGGGGGGTGGAGGTGACGGATGAAGGTGTCTGATCCACAGCTTTGGAAATCTTTGACACCGGTGCAAAAATCCCTGCAGACAAACACAGTGAAACCTCAGAGAGCCTGCAGACATAGAGCAACACCATCATCCCATTGGAGTCATTAGAATGCTGTTACCTAGTTTAGGAGGGCAGATGAAATAGCGAACACCGCCCACGCTGCCATCGTTCTTTCCCTCTGGCTCATCAAGCTCCACGCCGACCCACTGACCACTGGCAAACTCTGTAGTACCGCAAAACCTGAGAGTGCCAGTCTGAGAGAGACACACAGAGATGAAGATAAAGAAAGATAAAGATAAAGTCAGAGTTGAAATTCCTCCCCAGCTGGAAACCATTCAGGTTGCGTGGAAGCAGAAAGTCTGAGTGTCTGCTGCTGTGTTTTATGGAGGAGACGGGGAGGAAATGTAACATTAACGCTACAGATGGCGTGTAGGTTATCAGGTTTTCATTTGTCATGTGACAGGAAGAGAAAGTGTTGTCAGAGTGGTGCAGTCAGTTCAGTTAGTCTATGTTCCAGCCGGCGCCCAGTCCAACCAACCTGTGTGAGGTTTGCAGCCGGGCTGTCGTCTCGGCTCTGGTCTGTCTGGAGCTACAGAGCGAGAACACACTGTTCAGAGCTCATACAGCTTGAAGGTGTGAAGGACAAACTGACAGCCATCACACAACACAACTGCAAGCTTTAAAGGGATAGTTTGAAGTTGTGTTGTGTGAGGTACTTATCAGGGGTGTTCACAAAATTCACAGTTCGGTTCGGTACGATACAGTGGTATACAGTACATTGTTGATAAAGCAAAAAGTAAAAATGCTACAGAAATCCTTTTGTTTTTTTGTAATTGTAATTATTTGTTGTATGCACGTGGAAGGGCAGAGAGGTGTGTTTTCTCTGCTTTAAGGCTTTTCGTGTAGGCCCGTGACAGGGTAGGGAGGTTTGCTTTCTCTGCCTCAGGCTTTCTGCAAATGCATGTGGAAGGGCAGGGAGGTGTGCTCTCTCCACCTTAGGCTTTCCTTGTATGCATGTGAAAGGGCAGAGAGGTGTGCTCTCTCCACCTTAGGCTTTCTGCGTAGGCCCGCTGAAAGGAAGAGAGGCCCCAGAACAGAGCCATGCCGCAAAATATAATTCTGCAATGGAAATAACATTTAGACTTAAGACTTAAGTGGTCCTGACTGCATTATGTTTAACACGGACACTGAAAATTAGATTTTCCAAATGTAATAGAATAGTTCAACGTCTAATGGTAATGGTAATGTGTACCAAACCGAAAGCCTTGTACTGAATGGTTTAATACGAATTCGTGTATTGTTACACCCCTATCCTTAGTCAGTGTATTCAATACAGTAGGCAACCGTTAAAATGCCACATTTTGTGCATCGACACATTTTGTCCTTTCTCTGTTTAACAACATTTCTGATCCTCAGTGTGCCTCTGACCTTCATGTCGTCCAGCAGCACACGATCCCCCAGCTTCAGCCCCAGCGAGGACAGCATCAGGTTTCCTGGGATGTTGTCATAGTTTGGCAGCGTGGCTCTTGGAAGGTTGCAGCTCAGAGGGACGGCGTCCAGCAGCAGTTGCTTCAGCTCTTTCGCAACCATGGCAGCCTCCGCCTTGTCCAGACTCATGTCCATCGGGTCGGGAACCACTTCCCCCGGAACCTGGCCCTTATCATTCTGCAGAGAAACAGACCATTCTCTGGTTACATCAAGTAATCAAGTTTTGGCAGTGTGCCGAATCATGACCATGATAGATTATCCACAGGCCACAGGAAGAGTGTCTGGGTAAAGGTGTATATACGTGTGTGTTTGTCGTGCTCAATAATGGCTGTGCCCCTGGTTGGAAAACCAAGCGAGTCAATTACTGTTGTGTAGGCGGGATGAAGATGTTCAGGGATAAATGTTCAACTTGGACCCTATGTTCTCATGTTTTTGTGTCCATGTGACTAATTGGAACTGTACTGTTTTTGAAACTGGTCCAGTACTGAGTGATGTAGTCAGCAGCAGCAAAGCAAGCTGCAGTGTAACCACTCAGGGCATCTGTGCACCATCAGTGTGCATCCACTAAAAGTGTTTGTTTTTTCGGAAAACATTATGGAAAGGATCCCTACAGAGATAGACCTTAAGTTAAAGAGTAAGATCCTTTTTGTTTAATAGGAAACATTTTCAAACCCACCAGACTCCATTGAAATAAACAGTATTTTAAGAGTGTACTGAGGTGGCCTATTGTCCTGTCTGGCTGGGTGAATTAAGAATTTATTTCAACAGTGTGTTTGTTGATGGTGATTTCGGGGCTGTTTCTGGTTACTTGGAAACTGGAAACTTACCCTTAAACAAAAAGGTTTATCTCTGTTGGGATCCTTTCCACAATGTTGTCAGACACTTAGAATAATAATCTGAGCCTGTCAGTGACAAAAACAGTGTGTCTCAATCACTTCTTCTGTACTAAACACATATTTTGAGTGCCAAGTGCACTACTGTAAGTGCGTTCACGCTGCACAGTATGCGAAAATGCAGCGTACTACTGATGCACTCAAAAGAGTCCAAAAGTTGAGTGTAGAATGATGGACACTTCTCACCCTCAACGGTCGCCATCTTTGTGACGTAGCAAACTTCTCAACTTCTGACATGGTAGCCGGACAACAAGAAGCATGTTAGTTATACATGTTTTTTTTTTTTTGTACCAACACTGTTGTTGAATAAAAGTTGTCAATAATGTTTGTTGGGTCTGTTATGATTTGGTGCTGTGAACAATAACTAGCTAGCTAACTTGCTCCTAGCTATGGCGGCACATTTTAATCAGCATCGACGTTGTGGCGTAAGTTTGATTTATGTGTGGGCGGAGATAGTGGCCAAATGTTGGCGATAATACTCCATAATCCCTTTGCACTTCTCCATCTAAAAACATGGTAAAGAAGAGGAAGAGGCAGTAAAAAAAAAAGAAGTGAAAAACCGGTAAGTGTAAAACGGCAGGAAACTAGTGCACCACGCAAGAAGTACGTAGTGTGCATAGTGTACTACACCAAAGTGTACTCACAGAAGTGTGCAATCTGAGACACTCTTGAACACTTTTAGAGAACGTACACTGACGCTGCACAAATACCCATTAGCTTTACAATGTAGCCTGTTTTGTCGCTGCCGTCTGCAGCACTGTTGCTTAATACTGGACCAACTTTAGAAGCTGTCGTTTCCATTAGTCACTGACTAAACAGCATGGGAAAAGGGTCCAGGTTGAAAATACTGAAGTTACCCTTTAAAGTTTGCAGTCCCTACAACTTTTACCAGAACTTGCCGGCCCTAGTGTCTCATATTTGTTTTCAGTCTGTCTCTGTGTGTTTGCTGGGCGTGGCCTCCTGGTTCCCCCCCCCGCTTGTCTTCTGCCTCCTGATTTGGACTGCTCTGCCTTCAGCTAATCTGCCTGCTCTGCTTTGCCATTCCCTGCCCACCTCAGCCATCATTTCACTCAAGCCATCAGCTCCATGTCTTCAAACTACAATAAATTGCCTTTAACCATTCCAAGTTTTCTGGCTGTGTTTGTGTTTGGGTCCTACGTTGAACTGTCACAACAAGAACTCATGAGAAGACTGAAAATGAGTCATAACTGACTGGTCAGAGCAAAGTAACCTCATGACCAGTGTCACACAGAAGAATAAAGTGAAACCAAATGATGGCTCAGTGTGATTATCAAGCATAAAATAAAATAAAATAAAATAAAGAGTTTTTACCCGGACAGTGGGGTTGGCTCCGTGCTCTAGCAGACATTTGACTGCACCCAGACAGAGGTTGGAGGCAGCAATGTGGAGAGCTGTGCCATAGTGGAAATCACTGCAGGTGGAGTTCAACACTGTGGAAACAACAGAAGAAGAAGAGGTCACAGATTAACCTTCACCCCTGAGCTGGAGCTCCATACATTGTGTGATGTGTGTGTGTGTGTGTGTGTGTGTGTGTGTGTGTGTGTGTGTACCTCTTGGTTTAGAGGCTTTGAGCAGGACTCGGATCAGTTCTGGGACGTCAAAGTAAGCGGCGTAGTGCAGAGCGTTCATGTTGGTCCAGCGGCTCCTCAGACTCACGTCAGCGCCCAGAGCGATTAGCTGGCTGCTGAGACGCAGTGCAGCCGCTGGGTCACCTGCGCACACAGTGAGGGTAAAGCTAAGGCTGAGCAGAAAGCAACATTCATATCAGCGCTGCTAAGTGCACAACAGATCCTCAGATCCTCGCCCAGTATTCTGACTGAACTGATGAAACTTTTCTGATAGTAATTTTTCATGTAAAAACATTTTAGCTTCACAGCTTCACAACTGTTTTCTGTTAATAATGTTAATAATTATAATAAAGTTGAGGTTTGGTCTGTTGGTTGGACAAAACAAACACTGTAAAAGTGTCACTTTCAGCTCTACGGTAGGTCACTGTGATGCTATTTCTCACTATCTCAGTATTTTTACAAACCAAACAATTCATTACTGGAGAAAAAAATAGTCAGATTAATCCATAATGACAACTAGAATAACCACCCTGTGGTTGTATGACTCCGCCCACCAGTCCAGTGTCTCTGACAGTCTCCATTCATGTCAGTGAAAACATGGATGCTTCACACACTGAAGATCTATACAATCAGCACAGTTTCAAGATTAGAGTCACCAATTCAGTATCTGACCAAATGTGTCCCCTTCTGTTCCTGAGATATGACGTTAAATAATGGACAGAAAATTGTTTTATACAGAACATAATGATGTCACCACCAAAATCTAATAATTTCCTAAAATGTCCAAGTGGACATTCGTCCCAAATTTGAAAAAATTCCCTTGAGGCGTTCTTCAGATATCGCATTCACATAGATGGACGGACGGAAAACCCGAAAACATAATGCCTCGGGCCACAGCTATCTGCAGTACAGAGGAATAATAAACATTAGTTAATTGTTTAAAATGAGTTTCACCTCAACCAGTGCATTAATGCAAGAGTCATAATCATCTAATGAGATCACATTTACTGTAAAACATAAAATAAAAGTCTGTTCCCAATTTAACGCCCAGTCTCTCTTACTAGCCTGGTGTGGCTACACATTTTAACAAATTAAGGCCTGTCTCAATTAGAGGCCTGGTCTGGTTGCCAAGCAGGTCATTGTTTTGTAGAAGTTCTTCGATGTATGAAACAGGTTGCTGGTGATCCACCTGAGCTAATGTGAGTGAGCTGCTTAGATCTAGAATACAAATATAAATGTTTGAACTTTTGTCAGAATGGAGACGCCACACACCGTTAGCTCGGTTAGATTCTCTACAGTTCAATGATTCAGTTCATTTTACTAAAACCATGAGCACCAGAGATGACTGTAATTCATTTGGATTTGCCACTATGATGAAAAAACAAGTGGTGACTCCCTTCCTCTGGAGCTGTGTCCATTCCTTGATTTCGTTAATTACTCATACTCCTTCAGTCTGGAGGGGTCCACCAACCAAAAGAATTGAAGGGTTTTTTTAATAAAAATTAATCAGAGTTATGAATATTGCTTTAACAGGAGCGGTGTTGTGTTGATATGCCAGGTGTCGTAATCCTTGAGTATTGTATCTCTGATGTGTTTTCTCACTGAGCTCGATCAAATGAATGATTCATAATTGATATGTTATTTGAAGCCTAACTTTTATACAAGTAATGTTCATACTGGTTCAAATAAACAATTTGATTGTATTTCCCATCTTTGCTGAGCAACAGTTTTGTGTAAAAGGAATTAAAGGCCTGTCCCAAATATAGCTCTGATGAGTTCAGTGATTTTAGAAATAGCCTGGGCTAACAGTTTAACAGTCACAGGGGACAGTTTGATACTTTAAATACTTTAACTACATTTTACTGATGATGCTTACGTACTTTTACTGAAGAAACATTTTCAATGCAGAACTTGTAACAGAGTATTTTTACAGAGTGGTATTAGTACTTTTAAATCAGTAAAGGATCCGAATACTTCCTCCATTACTGTTTCAGAATATAAATAAAATTGACTCGACTCTACATGGTGGAATAAGCTCTATCAAGCTTTGGCTAAACAGTCGACATTCATTATTACAATCATTACCTAACTAACTGAAAGATAAAATAACACCAGGCGTTTCCTGTCACTGATTACCTTCCTACAAATGCTGCAGTGCAGCTGAAGAGTCCAGCACCAGACTGACTGATTGGATCCACATTAAATATATCTTACCGACTCCATGTGCACCAGCCTTGCAGCTGTAGTGAAGCAGCGTCATGTCGGTCAGACCATCACGGTCGTTCACATGGCAACCGCGCTTCAGGATCTGAGACAAAAACAGAGAGAGACAGAGACAGCTCAAAACACCATTTTGTTTGTTTGTTCAGTGAATCTTTAGTTAATCCTGTTAAAAAGATTTGGAGTGAATACTTGTTTTTGTTATTTGTGTTATTACACAATATCAGGTTTTCTAATTTGAGCTCTTCATCTCTCCATCATATAAACTCACAGAATGATTACCAACCAAATTCAAATTAAAATAATGACATGAGGCTTTAAATCAACTTCATGTAGGAAGTAGTTGCACAAAATTTGACATGACAGGTCAGCGATTGTCTCGATGAGACTTCCTCTCATCATTCTGTCTGTTTCTGAGTCATGTCACTGTTTTATTCCTCCAGGCTGAGTCAGCTTCCTGCTGAGTCATGGTAGAGCCTCGATGACTTTCAATCTCTCTCCCTCTGCACCACTTTCTCCCTGCTCTCCTTTTCTGTCTTTTCAAGTCCGTGTAGCCATTTTAACTGGGTCAGCATCACCATGATTGTGTGAGTACTTGTGTTACTGACATTGTGGGGACTCTCCTCCCACAGGGGACAGAAAGGTCTCCACCAGGAAAACCATTAGATGACAGATTCAGATTTTGTTTTTGGTTAAGAATAGAGTTTAAGTAAAAGTTAGGATATGTATCGAGGGAAGAAATATAATCTCTTAAACCATTCTTCCAGTGGTTCAAACTGGGTTGAGTCTTAAAGTATCCACATTAATCAATGAAAAACTTCCTTAGTAACAAGACAATATTAAGACAAAAGTCTGCATCCTTGTTTTCAACACAAACACAACCAAGAAGAGAAACTTCTCTGAGCTAGAAATGGAAACGCAGATGTCGCCGGTCCAATTTAACCAACTGGTTCTATTTAATGGCCTGAAACGTTTCATTTAAGGAAGTAAAAAAAAAACCACAGCCTGGAAAGAAACCACCGCTGCGGTCAACAGCGTTGCGATGGGCAGTCAAACTCCAGCTGAGGTTGGAATATTTCATTTATACATCTATAATATGTACTGACATATAGCCCACACATATTGATAATATTGCCTACAAAAGTTTGGGCTCCCCTGGTCAAAATTGTGTTTACTGTGAATAGTTAAGGAAGTAGAAGATGAAGTGATTTTCAACTTTTAAGCAAGATCAGTGTTTTATTTTTACTTCGCACAATTTTAGAGTGAAACAAAAATGAAAGTAGCATCATGCAAAAGTCTGGGCACCCCAAAACAGTTGAGCTCTCAGACAACTTCTCCCAGGGTCTCAGACCTTAATGAGCTTGTTAGGGCTCTGGCTTGTTCACAGTCATCTTTAGCAAAGGCTAGTTGATGTTTATTTCAAAGCTTTATAAATACTCTGACTCCTGAAATCTTGTCCCAACAATCAGCAGCCATGGGCTCCTCTAAACAGCTGCCTAGCACTCTGAACACTAAAAGACCTGATGAAGACTAGAAGAAGATAGCAAAGTGTTTTCAGGGAGCTGTTTCCTCAGTTGGTCATGTCAGTAAGAAATGGCAGTTAACAGGAACTGTGGAGGTCAAGCTGAAAACTCTCTGAGAGAGCTGCTCGTAGGATTGTTAGAAAGGCAAATCAAACCTCTGTTTGACTGCAAAAGACCTGCAGGAAGATTTCTCAGACTCTGGAGTGGTGGTGCACTGTTCTACTGTGCAGACACACCTGGACAAATATGAGCTTCATGGAAGAGTCATCAGAAGAAAACCTTTCCTGTGTCCTCACCACAACATTCAGCCTCACAAGTTTGCAAAGGAACATCTGAACAAGCCTGATGCTTTTTGGAAACAAGTCCTGTGGACTGATGAAGGTAAAACAGAACTTTCTGGACACAATGAGCAAAGGTATGTTTGGAGAACAAACTGTTAAACACGGGGGTGGATGGATGATGCTTTGGGCTTGTGTTGCAGCCAGTGGCACGGGGAACATTTCACAGGTAGAGGGAAGAATGGATTCAGTTAAATTCCAGACATCACAGCATCTGTAAAAAAGCTGCAGATGAAGAGAGGATGGCTTCTACAACAGGACAATGATCCTAAACACACCTCCAGATCCACAATGGACGACCTCAAGAGGAGCCAGCTGAAGGTTTGGCCACGCCCCTCACAGTCCCCCGACCTAAACATCATTAAACATCTGTGGATAGAGCTCAAAGAGCAGAGCATGAAGACGGCCCAAGAATCTCACAGAGCTAGAAGCCTTTTGCAGGAAGAACGGGTGAAAATCCTCCAAACAAGAACTGAAAGACTCTGAGCTGGATACACAAAGTGTTAAGATGATACCTGCCAAAGGGGGCGCTACTGAACACTGACCATGCAGGGTGCCCAAACTGTTGCTTCAGGTCCTTTTCCTTTTTTGTTAATTTGAAACTGTGAAAGATTGAAATTAAAAAGTAATCTTGCTTAAAATATTGAAGAAATGTTTCATATTTATCTTCATGCCTTTTAAAGATCAGTTTATCTTTTACTTAATTAACTACTCAGAGTAAATGAAATTTGACCAGAGGTGCCCAAAGTTTTGTTTTGCATGCCACTGTATATTTCGTTTTGAAAGTAACCTCCCCAACACTGGTGTGTTTGTCCTCACCTCGTTGCCAATGATGTCGATCTTGTGCTGCACCTGGGGAACCCACTGACGCACGATGGCGAACAGCTCGGGGATGGTGGTCCGGGGGTCCATGAGGATCTCCAAACAGGCCGGGTCATTGGGGTCGAAGAAAGTGAAAGCTGCAGGCAGGTGGAGATAAGAAAAAGTTAGAGTTAAAACCACTGATATGTAAAAGAGAAACAGCAGAGTACAAGAGGAAAGACAGACGGATGAGGAAAGAACAGAAGGAAATACAGAGAGCAGAGAACAGTTATCACTGCCGAGTCGTTTCTGTCACCCTCATCAGATCAGAAGTGACCTGTGAGCTCTGCAGTTTCTCTTCCTGCCAGCTCTGCAGTCTGAGCTCTGAGGCAGATTTCATTTCACTGAGTAACTGCAATCAACAAACTTCACTTTTCCTAACTGTCGACAGCTCAGGAAGACGCACGGCTTCACATTCAGACAGAAGTAGTGTGTCAGGCTGGAGGGGGAGGAGGGCCGCTCCGCTCTGTATTCACGGCTGGATAATGGGGATGACATGCAGAGTGTATAATGGAGTCTGCCTGATGAATACCAATGAGCCTGTCGTCCATACAGAAGTCATTACAGAGCTTCTTAAAGCTATGGATCGATTAAAGCTGTCAGTAATACACACTGTGTGCACTGTGCTCTGTGACTCAGATGCTTTCTTTACTTTCACCACTGCACGCTGCTTCCTGTGTGTGTTCTGTAGCTGTGTGAAGTCTGCTGAGGTTGTTGTTGTTGTTTTATGGGCGTTAGAGGCAGTGAGCCCACTCTGTTTACCTGTTGTCTGTTTATCCAAACATCATACAATACCTCCGACAAATCTCTGGACAGCTTTGAGCATTTTCAAAACTAGAATTAATGCTAATGTGTGAATTCAACATGTTGTACCAGTGTGTATTTAAGGTGGTAAGACGTACTGTAGTCTTTGGGCAGCGGCGCCTGGGCGGAGGGGTGCACCATGGCTCGTCGGCGTGGCTCATGAACTGGACTCTGGTACTCAGACACTGACAGCGGCTCGGGCTCGGGCTCCGGCTCGACGTCACGTTCCCGGCCAGCTTCTGGATCCATCTCTTCCTCCCGCTCCTCCCTCTCCTCCCGCTCCTCCTCCTGCTCGTCGTCGTCCTCATCCTCCACCTCCGTCCTCTCCTCCCCCTCCCTTTCCTCTCCTAGCTCATATTCTTCCTCTTCATCTTCTTCCTCCTCTTCTTCTTCCTCTTCTTCCTCCTCCTCGTCCTCCTCCTCGGTCAGTGCCTCTTCCTCCTCTTTCTGGACCTTCCCCTCCTCCTGCTCCTCCCGGTCGTGCCTCTCCTTCTCCTGCGCCTCCAGGTTCTCCTCTTTAGTCATGATGAGGGATGCTGCAGCTGGGCCTGTCAGAGAGGAGGAACCACACTTTAATAATGTTTCTAAGCAGCACTAAATCATTTCTATATTCTAGTGTTGGAACATTCCTGCTGCTTCCATGTTAATAAGACAGAGACAGTCAGGCCATGCATGGTTTAAACACTGAGTTATAATGTCTCTGCATTGAAATGACAGACCATGTGCCCTTGACACAGACATGTAAAAGACTTCAACTGAAAAACGACTGTCTGCTCTTCCTGCCTCATCACCATCATGGATATTATACACAATACCACGAGACACCGGGTACAGGTTGTATTTACACATTATAAACACATTCAAAATGTTTTACTTTACTGCAGGATTACTGAAGCTCCGGTGTGCAGCTGTATTGTGTTGGGAAAAAATTTAATATAGGTTAATAACTAGAATATCACCTTGCAGTTGTATGTCTCTGCGCATCAGTCCAGTGTCTCTGACAGTCTCCATCCATGTCAGTGAAAACATGGATGCTTCACACACAGAAGATCTATACAATCAGCACAGTTTCAAGATTAGAGTCACCAATTCAGTATCTGACCAAACATCTCTCCTTCTGTTCCTGTTCTAAAAACAGTTCCTGTTTTGCAGATTATTATGTCACAGTCAGAGTTGCAGCGATATACTGGTTTTAAGGCACACTGTGATAAAAAGGTGACAGTTATCATACTGTGTACCTCTGGACGGAGAATCTCCCCTTTATTTGAGCTATTTCCAAAATGGTTTCAAGTTTCAACCAACAATAACCCTTCCATTTTCCTTCCTTTAAAGAGGCAACAGACAGCATCTTTTCCTAAATATATCATGATGAAAATAATGTGGGTTGCACAGGGTAGTGGTCACAGTGAAATCAGACGATCAGCGTTTACATAGATTACTTAGTGGCTTTGCAATCTTTGCAATAAGCTTCTGCCACCGGGGGCAAAATTTCACGGAAAAAATCTGCTTTACGGCAGGAAACGCGTCATGTATTGTGAAACTGGTCAGTCAGCCAATCAGGGACTGGAGCTGGTCCTTATGAGGAGCTGGGCATGAGATAGTTGAGTCACGAGCACAATGGCAGACGGACAAAGTTTGGAGACAAGTGAAAAACGGCCTAGCAAAAGAAAAGGAGCTCCTCTGTGTGAGGAGGCAAAGAAGAGCAAAAAGGAGAGTGATAAAAGAAGAGGAAAAACAAGAGTAAACCTCAGTCAGGCGTTCAAGAGATGGAGGGAGCTCCGTGACCAAAGAGGCTTCAAAACCCATGTCCAGCTAGCTTTCTTTCTAATGGATCAGTAAGTAACACGGCTAAATGTTAGCTAGACCAGAGAGGACTGTACTGTACTGGCTGCTAGTTCATTCCTAGCTGGCCAGCATCGCAAATCGCCGCAACCAGGGAGCGGGTAGCGAGTGTTGGTCGGCTGACATCCTGGTTGCCATTCTACGGCAGCCCTCGGACAGTGATACCCCCCTCCCTTCCTTCTGTTCTCTTCTCACGGAGGCAGCTATCCACGGACATCGCCCAGCTAAGTTACGCCCAGCTAAGTGAACACTGGACTTTGTTTCCCATTCAATTTGAGCTCCAACCGGCCGCATGGTTTCCATACGGTAGCGTTTATTCTAGAATGGGGACTGTTTACATGTGCATATTGGTATAATTCCACTGTGTCTACTGTTGTTTGTACTGATACTGTACATATTGGTATCATTTACTGTGAGCTGTTTGTACTGGTACTGTGCATTCTGCTATAATTATTTGCATTACTATTTGTTTTTTCTTCAGATAAATCTGATAATTGTTGCTCGGTCTCTTTACTCATTTATTTAGTAGAGTGTCCACACACCTTCTCATTCTACATATACATAGAGGTATACTGGCGGCTTTACAGCCTACATTTTATTGATTATCTCTGATCCCCACGCTCAATTTGGTCATTGCGACAGTGCAATGCAACACCGCTGACGCTAGGTGGCGCCAAGCTAAAAAAAACCCGAATCCTATCTGTTGCCTCTTTAAGTGTCATTGTAACTGATAATAATCTTTTCTGAGACAGTTATTATACCATGAAAATTCCATAGCATCGCAACCTTAATAACAGTGAAGCTGACCTTTGACCTTTTGGGTGTAAAATGTCATCACTTCATCATATTATCCTGTTAGACACTTGTGTTAGTTCTAAAGTTGTGACCAAAAACTTGACCTTTGACCACCAAAACCTAATCAGTTAATTGTTGAGTCCAAGTGGACGTTTGTGCCAAATTTGAAGACATTCCCTCAAGGTGTTCTTAAGATATTGCATTCACTGCAATGAGACATATTCAACCCCACGCTGGCGTCTAGCGGCCGGCGGTGTGGGTTGTACACAAAAATAATAGGGGTGTATTTTTTTATGCGCTGTGTTTGCCCCAGTGTGTGTTTTGGCTAAAAATATCCAGTTTGGGGGAAAAAATCCCTGCTGTAAACACAGTGATGTATTAGTAAAAACAAAAAACGCTTTTCGAGGCACCATCTCCGCTGGAAACACAGTGATGGGTCACTACAAAACACTTGTGTTTGGTGCCTGTTAAGCCACAGGAAACACAGCTATGACTCGCTAAATCACAACTGGTTTTGTTAATTGTTGGTCTTGAACAGTGGTTTGGGGTTCAGCAGGCGTCTCATCTAGGTGTCACACCATCCACCATCCCCTCCACCTCCTGATGACAAAGTCAGCTCCGTCACTACGTCATTTTAGAAACGTTGATATGATACATAAACGTGCAAATGTAATGTATCTGTGGTATGTAGAAATGTATGATGCCAACATTTTCATGTGGCGACATCAGAAGGCTTGACAGTCATCTGATCAAAAAGCAACTCAGACTCATGGGGTCTGAACCAGGTCCAGTCCCTGTAAACCACCACATGGTCCCAGTAAGAGGGTGTGGTGCTGACTGATGGTGACTGGGTGTAGGTCCTCTTGGTTTCTGTTCTGCATCAGCAGATGAAGGCTATGTTTAGCTCTGTGTGTGTGTGTGTGTGTGTGTGTGTGTGTGTGTGTGTGTGAGTGAGGGAGAAAACAGGGAGAAGCAGGATAATTAACCTGCTGCATTGTACTGATAATGGCAGTGGCTAAAAAGGCTAATGCTAATGCTCGCTGTCTGTCATTAGCTGTTGACAGGCCTGACTGGATTAAATCTACTCTCCACTTTAGCAAATGGACGAGACGCTGATCTCCATCCAGCCGCCACTCCCTCCGTTATCGAGCCTCCATTTTCTCCTCTATCACCATCACACATCCGAGGGAGGAAGGAAATTCTTGAAACATTTTCTCAACAGAAAGATTCACAGATGTCTTAAAGAGGATAAAAAGTGTTTTAGCACGTCTTTTTCATCAACGTAAATTTAAACTGGACTTAATCTGATATTGACATTTCTGACTTTTCATTTTTAAATCAACATGTCAATGGATCAACAGATGGCAACAATCTCAGCAGTCAACGTTTTATAAAAGTTTATAAAAGTTCCATTAATATGATATGATATGTGTAGGGGTACAGGGTACAGTTTCTAAACGCTGGGGAAACATTCTGTACATTTCTAACATAAAACTTTGGGGAACTCAACATTCCTGGGTTCACATTGCTGGCATGTAGACTCTCTGAAGGCTAGTGACTGAAAACTCTCTGATGTGAGGTAATGTGATGAATTTAGGCCAAAGCAAGTGTAGCTTTCAAGATAGAGAGGTCAACTTGGGCTCACACTGAAGGACATTTTTTGTCCACCTTTTCCTCGTACGGAAATGTCTTCATTTCAGTCCCTCCTACAACACTCTGATTGGCTCAGCCATTTTTCCAGTCACGGAAAGAGCTGTCACTGAGCACAACATCAGACAGGTGTTAAGCCCGGTATAAACTGCAGTATTGGGCTGTCCCAGATGAAGGATGACCAACGATAAAGTAACGTGGTGATATCTTTGGTTGTGGCTCTAAAACAGTGGTCCTGCGTCACACAGTGAGGGAGGTTCAAGGATGAACATTGTCACAGTCTCACGATCAAAGACAGCCTGGAACAGTGTCATAACTTTGGGATGACCATCTCACTGTGTGTCTGCTGTTACCACCTATGTCTACTAACCAACCAATAGAAATGCAGCATGAAATGACGCACTGATCAGCGCTAAACCCAAACACACAGACAGACAGCAGCTCGCCATGGAGGCAGAACACACTAAAAGAAATGTGTGTGATTCCAGCAAAGAGGAAAACCTTGTGAAGCCTTGTCTGTATGACGTGTCCTCCACCTCTGACCATGATCGCGTAAAGAAGGACGAAGCATGGAAGGAAATAGAGGCGGAGCTACAGCTGCCAGGTGAGACACCTAGCAGTTTGCAAACACACACACACACACCTCAGTATATAGTGTCCACAAAACTTCACAGTTGGAGGGGTAATAACTCCATCGTACGTCGTAGCCTGTGATTCAGTCGGCGCTGTCATCGTACAGTCTGCAGACATCAAACCTGATGTTGTTCCCACGTTTATCAGATCCATGTCACACAGTGTAGCTGCACTAAACTTATAGGATTGCTAAAATCTCACAGTGTGTAGGAGGCGTAACTCCCTGCAGAGACTCAGAGCTCTGGAACCAGGTTAAATTCTTCCTGTATCGGCACTGGATGTTTAAATATGAACCTAACTCTTGTGAACAGCAGCGGGCAGCCAGCGCACACTGATCAGAAACCATCTCATCTGAGTCACACAGGAGGAACAGTTTCACTGCACCTAAAGGACGCCACCAGAGAGCACAGCAGCAGCATTCAGCTCGTACAAGAAGCCAGTTAAACCAGTAACATCCTCTTTATCCGCCTGCACACACACACACACATACACACACACACACTGATCACAAGTAGGTCAAGGGAGGGGTGTGAGATGTCTCTATAGTCTGCTCAGTTTAATCCACACAAGCAGCAGCTCTGTTACTGTCACTGTTCACACAGAGGGATTCTGACTATTAGAAAACAGTTAAATTTAAATTTGACCTCAAATTATTAACAGGTCACAGCATGTTGTTTTGTATCATCATCGCAATGTCAGCTTGTGCAATAAACACATAGCTGCCATGTTGCACTTTGAATATTAAGAATTAAATTACATTTTGTCGTTGCAACATGTTCTCACTCCGGACTCGTCAATTATCGCTGATTGTTCAGTAGACTTTTAACGTCTACATATGACACGCTAGGCATCATGGGTGTGTCTGTTGTTGACATTTTGGGACACCATGTCACTTTACACCTGTCACGTGCATTGTGAAATACACTTTTGTTTTCACAGGAAATGTGCAGTTTCTGCTCGTTAGATGCAGATGGTCTTTTTTAAATAAACCTACAACGTTGGGAAAACATCCTCGTATATACATTTATTTCCTTGTGCAACAAAAGCACATGTCGAGGTGCAGAAAAACTTGTAAATGTGCGCCTCCTCGCACCAGTCAAGTTTCGCTTATAGTCCCCATCCATGTCAGTGAAAACATGGATGCTTCACACACTGAAGATCTATACAATCAGCACAGTTTCAAGATTAGAGTCGCCAATTCAGTATCTGACCAAATGTCTCCCCTTCTGTTCCTGAGATATGACACTGAGTAATGGTCAGAAAAGTGTTGCCATTATGATGTCACCACCAAAATCTAATAATTTCCTAAAAATGTCCAAGTGGACATTCGTCCCAAATTTGAAGAAATTCCCTTGAGGCGTTCTTCAGATATCGCATTCACAAAGATGGACGGATGGAAAACCCGAAAACATAATGCCTCGGGCCACAGCTATCTGCAGTGCAGAGGAATAATTAACATTAGTTAATAGTTTAAAATGAGCTTCACCTCAACCAGTGCATTAATGCAAGAGTCATAATCAAATGTAAAATAAAAGTTTACTAGCCTGGTGTGGCTACACATTTTAACAAATTAAGGCCTGTCTCAATTAGAGGCCTGGTCTGGTTGCCAAGCAGGTCATTGTTTTTGTAGAAGTTCTTCGATGTATAAAACAAGTTGCTGGCGATCCACCTGAGCTAATGTGAGTGAGCTGCTTAGATCTCACATACAAGTATAAATGTTTGAACTTTTGGACCGTTTATTGGACCCATCCACCTCCCCTCCCGTCCGCTGAACAAGGACTTTCCAGCTCCTAAAATCACATTGTTTTCTGACAGCATTTCAAACTGACACCGTCTGGTGGAGCTATAAACACACACCGCCCTGCTGGGTATCACAGCACCGCTACAGGATGGCTTTTCTCATTGGTGTGTGACGTGGAAATCACTAATCAAACAGCGTTATTTGACGACTTCAGAATGAGAAGAGATTGTTCGCAGGTGCTACTTTGTCTGATAAGTACCATCTCTGGCCAGTCAGACAAAGACAGGCAGGCTTAGTCACCTAGCTGATGAAATGACGGTCAAAAAATTCATTGTGTCTCAGAGAAAAACATCCGACTGAGTTGGGAATGACGACTTGTGTCATGAGAGGCGATCGGAGCAGAGAAGAAATCAGCAGTCAAGTTGTCAAGCAGCAAATGTTCAGTGTTGGTTTCAGTTTGTCTGAGAATAAAAACCACTGCAGCTCCTCAAGACAGAGTAACAATGTGGTGATCACGTGACGACAACACGTGTGCTCCTCAGCTTCCTGTCCAGCATGAATGCTCTGATGAAAACTTCCTGTCGTGACGCTGAATGTTGAATTCTGTCTGTGTGTCTGTGATGAGGTTTATGTAACGCCGGCTGCAGCCTCAGCTGGTTGAGTCCTGCCTGAACACAACCGAGCGGTGGTTACCATCTGAAACAGGACTCAGCCGAGGCCACGACAAAGGTTACGCAACACGGCCGTGTGAGTCAGCACGGACTCACACATGACAGCATGCACACAGACACCAGGGCTGCAGAATGAGCACAACAATTCATGTTAGAAAATTAAAGAGTAAAGTCTGAATGATGCATTGTTTCTGAGGCTGATACCAAAACTAATATTTGACTATTTAAATCTGATGATAACATATTTACTTTGCAGAACATTTATACACATTGTTGATGTGGTTTTTGCTTGTTGTTTTTTAGATATTGTATATATATATATTTGCAACTGAGAAATATACTTTGCAGGACATTTTACAGTTGTGACAAAATAAAAACATTTCAAAACAAATCTTTGGCATTTCTGTTCTTCAGTTCCTTGTCTGTTTTCAGCTGATCAGACAATATATACTGTGAGTTGGGCTTTAATTGACGCGTAAGAAATTGTGTGTTTTTCTTGCTGCTGTTACATCACTCTGACTCCACCTCTTCTTTTGTTTTCTGACATACTGACAGGTGCATTTTCCCCGTTTTTAGACCACCAAAAAAAAGAAACAGTGACAGAGCCGTGGTGGCAGCTCAGTCGCCAGACGACAAATGTTTGCATTGTACATTTCTGCCATCCACAAACACGTTACATTTGTTTCATATGAATCATATCAAAGTTTCTAAAGTGACGTAGTACATGAGCTGACTGTCATCAGGAGGAGGGGATGGTGGATGGAGTGACAGCTGGTGGAGACGCCTGCCAAGCTGCAGACACTGTTCAAGACCAACAAACAAAACTTGTTATTTTTAGTGAGTTGTCGTTGTGTTTCCTGCAGCTTTGAGCCACCAAACGTTGGTGTTTTTAGCAACCTGTTTTCTTTTCCTAACCATAAACAAGTCTTTTTTGTGCCTAAACCTAACCACGTTTGCCACTGCGTTGATGAAACCTAAAGTTTTAACGTATTTTCTATAGAATAACATGCAAAATGAAATACACGCGGGTCGGCAGCGGGTAGGAACAAAAATATTTTTTTTAATTTTTCAGAATAAAACAAATGAAAAAGATGCGCAGTGTGTGTGTGTGTGATATTTTATCACATTTATATTTTTATCCGGCATTTTGCTGCACTCCCCGATTTTGTTTTTATACTGCCAATGCTGAAAAAAGACTGATTGGGCTTTCCTGCAAATTTGCACAACTCCTGTTTAAAAAGGTCCGGTGTTTGCTTCCTGTAAGACTGTAAAGCCAAACCCTGTTCTTTTTACCTAAACTCAATCATGTGCATTTGTTGTTGAAGGAAAAAAATAATTTGCAGTGTTGTAACGACGTAGTGCTTTTATTTTGAAAGAGACTGTATGCAAACTGTACATTTCCTGTGAAAACAGAAGTGTATTTTGAAAACAGACAATGCATGTAACAGGCTGAATTTGACACGGCGTCCCAGAACGTCAACAACCAACACACCCAGGGTACCTTGGACGCCATATGTGGACGTGGAAAGTCCATGACCAAACGTGGACATGTGACGAGGTCACAGTGAGGATGAGTTGGGAGAACATGTAAACTCCACACAAAGGGGTTCCCCCACCCCCTCTGTGTGGAGAAACCCTGGGGTCTGTACTGGGAACCCTCTTGCTGTGAGGCGACAATGCTAACCACTGCACCACCGTGCTGCCAGTGTTTTTGCTTTCAATAATCATAATATAATAATTACTGCATTTTGATTAAACCAGTACAACAGTTTGATGACATTTCTACACAGGCTACCATTGTTGTCTCCAAATAAATGTTTGTTTGTTGCATCAGTTGAGGAATATGATATGAAAGGATACTGCCAAGTATGAAATATGTGAATGATTGACATTATGATCATCTGTAAATGATGTTATTGGCAGCTCTGTGGACTCAGCATGGATAGTACATGGATTGTACTGAATCAGTCCTGTGCTTATAGAGACTGGATCACATGTCTCATACATGAGTCCCAGTGGGAATACTGGCCAAGATGGAAACCATCGTAATAACCAGCATTAAGCTCTGAGCCTGACACACACCCCTACTGTTACACACTTACACAATACCACCGCTTAATGGCTCTATTTCGGATGATTTGAAGGGTGTAGGAATACCATGTGATGTGTACACCAGCAGGTTGTGGGAGTGAGGCGGAGGGAGGCCATGGCAGCATCCTCCTCCTCCTCCTCCTCCTCCTCCTCCTCCTCCATCCATGCAGCCTCCATTTTACAACAAACCAAAGCGGAGACACCAAATATTATAAAAACCCGATCAGAGGCAGCAGACAGTTTGTTCTGCACAGCTTCATACACACCAGCTGATGTTTATGATGCGATCAAACCCAGACACAGCAGATACAAACTGCAGCTACAGCTCCGGGTTGTGCTTTGTGCCAATGTGCGTAGTGAAGGGCAGGATGGGAAAAAAACGCCCCGATGACAGACAATGAAAACACGCACACGCATAAAAACACACGAAGCTGTGAATCTTAATTTCATCTAGATATTAAACACACAGCATGCTCGTTTCTTCAGAGTCTGACCCGTCAGCGTGAGTGTGGGAGATGAAACGCAGGTTTATTTCGGAGGTGTTGTTTTGAACAGCGCCCCTCTCCCCCTCCATCTCTGCCTCTGCCTCAGCATCATCATCATCATCACCACCACACACAAACACACTGATAACGATCATCATGAAGAACAGACACGTGTCGTTAAAAGCTGCAGCTGAAGGTGTTTTTACCTGAAAACAAGCCGCTGGTTGTTCTGTGATGGGTCTCTCTCCTCTCTGGTCCACGGCAGGAACAACACTGATGCTCTGCTCGGTCTCTGCTGGCTCCAACACCCCCTCCCTCCCTCCTCCCTCCTCCCTGCTTTCATTAAAGTCATGATGCTCAGGCTTCACGTCACGCATCGATTCAACGAATACAGAGGAGCTTAAACGGACCGACAACACAAATAATGCCTGCATTAAAAAAAAGTCATGATAAACCTCATAGCTATGGGGACTGAAACAATTGGAGACATTTTATTCTCCTACACTGCAAATATGTCCCGACTTTCCCACAATGTGATGAACTTTCAAAATAATTTTAATTTGAATTGAACTGATTTTTTTAAAGGTTACATTCATAAAAGGTTTCCTGCCTCTCCATAAACTCTCGCTATCCAAAAAAGTCCCCTTTCCCCAAAAATGTTCTCACTTGAAAAATGAATTCACCTTTAAAAATTGTTTAGAATTTAAATGTTTTAATTTTAAGTTTTCAAAAATGTCCTCACTGTCTAAAAAGTAGGCCTACCCATTTTCCAAAACGTTCCTAACACTTTTCAAAATATCGTCAAGTTTCAAAATGCACTCACTTTCAGGATTGGTTTTGAAATACAGTTGAATTGATTTTTTATTTTATTTTAACTTTTCAAAAATGTCCCCACGTCCCTAAAATCACAACACTTTCCAAAATGCCTTCACTTTTAGAAATAGTTCTAAATTTACAAAATAGATAAATACACGAATAAACAAATAAATTAATAACATTTAAATTAAAGTTAAAATAAAAAAGAGCTAGATTTAAAAAAAAAAATAGCATTTTAAAAACAATCACTACCTTTCCAAAAATTCTCATTATGAAAAAAAGGTCCCCTCTTTCCAGAAATGTTGTCATTTTAAAAAGTTATTTACTTTTAAAAATGGTTCTGAATTTACATTTTTTTATTTGAAAATTTTCAAAATGTCCCCATGGTCTAAAAAGTCCCCAGATTTTTTATTTTTTTTATTTTTTAAGTTTCTCTTTCAAAAGATTTCCCAACTTTCTCAAACCCACATTCCAAAATATCCTCAGTTTTCAAAATGCCTTCACTTTTGGAAATAGTTCTGAATTTCCCAAATAAATAAATGAGTAAATAAGCATGTAATTTAAAAAAAAAAAAACTTTCAAAAAATAAAGTTAAAATAAAAATAACAGTGTAACTTAAATTCATTTTCCTACTTTGTTTTTAAAAAGTTACATTTTAAAAACATTTCCTACCGTTCCAAACGTTCTCATGTCAAAAAGTCTCCACTTCCCAAAAATGTCCTCACTTTTCAAAATTTCCTCACTCTTAAAGATTTCCCCTCCCCTTAACATAAAAATGAAAAATGTCCTTACTACCCAAAATGTTCCCAGCTTCCAAAAATGTGAGGTTCAAAGAAAAAATAAAATAAAAATAATGATTTAAAAAATGGAAATTCAGAACAATTTTTTAAAGTGAATAAGTTTTCAAAAATCAGGGACATTTTGGGGAAGCAGGGTTTTTTTTTAGCAAGTGAAAACATTTTTTGAAAGGTAAGAAACATTTAGTTTTTAATTAAAGTTAACTTTACCAAAACCACAACACTTTCCAAAATGTTTTGAATTTTCAGAATGTTTAAAAAATAGTTATGAATCAAAAATTATATATTTTTTTCCTATCTTAACATTCACCGTCTTAGAAGAACATTGCTTTCCAAAAATGTTGACTCTCTTCAGAAGTCCGTAATTTCCAAAAAAGTGTCTTGACTTTTTCTCCCACTTTCCCAAAACACATTTTTCAAGAATGTCGTGGCTTTCCAAAATGTACTCAGCTTTCTTGAAATGACCCCAGTTTCCAAATATTTCTAATTTGTCTTCATGTTTCAACATTTTTTCTTAATTTTTGTAAAGCTAAATAAAAAATAATAATAATAACTTTCCAAACATATCCTCTCTGTCTAAATGTCAACTCACTTTTCAAAAATGTCCTCACTCTCAGGGTCTAAAGGTCAAGTGGGTCCTCATTAAAGTAGGAGTGGAGGCATAAACACATACAAACACACACCCACCCACACACACACACACACAGAGGCGTGTGTTTCTGTTCTCAGGAAATGAAAGTGAAACAGATGATTTGTCTGCAGCTGATTTTCCTGTTCTTCCACTGAGTGAAAACAGCCGTGGCTTCTGAACAGGTGAGCTTTGATTTTGTTGCCTTATCTGATTTTATATTCAAATTCATTTGATTTCATTTTCACTGTGACGTACCAGTTTCACTTTCATCAGCATCAGCTCTGGTATGTAGCCAGGAATATAAAGTGGATGCTTGGTCACTGTAAGAGCACAAAAGTAAAGTAAAAATACGCACTGTGAGAATGTAAAGATTCTCCCTGTGTCCCGGTGACACGGGCAGTATATGTATTACCTATTAACAATATGAAAATGCTCTTATTATTCCTCATGTGCATTTTTATTTTTAAGTAATTTGTTATTTTTGACAAATTCACGATGAATGTGACAGGCAGAGAGGCACATGGATCAGTGTACACTGTGAGACAAACTGTGGTGAATAAATGTGACTTCACATTGTTCAGCACGAAACAATCCAGTCCATGTTTTCTGCTCTGCCTTCTCAAGTATGACTCTGCAGTTTCAGTCAGTTATCTGCACTGAACTGACATTAATGAGAGACAAAGATATAACTAGGGATTTCTAACTGCCAGTGTGTGTGTGTGTGTGTGTGTGTGTGTGTGTGTGTGTGTGTCAGTGTCAGATGTTGGACTGATGAGAGTCCTGGGCTGTTCTATGTGTTAGACTTTCAGCATTTTAATCAGGAGAGACCAGGATGATACAAGTACAAATTACAGATGTAGCCTACAGAGTAATAGATTAATACAATTTGAAATAAAGCCTACTCAGACTTGGACTCGGACTGGGATGCCGTGTCAGCTTCAGCCTGTTACATGCATTGTCTTTTTTCACAGGAAATGTAGTTTGCATACATTAGTGCATGTAAGGCACAACACCACAGACTGACTTTTTCTTTCCTTCAACAGCAAACGCACATGGTTCTGCTTTGCCAACACTTGCACGTGGGTGGGGTTCAGAAAAAAAGAACAGGGTTTGGCTTTACAGTCTTACAGGAAGTAAACACCAGCGTCCCGGGGGGAAAGTCGGTGGTTGTGGGACCCATCCTCTACCCGTCCCACCCACCCTACTCGGACTTTTGCCCACTTAACTTTCGTTGTTGTCCACTGTGTTTCCTCTTGACGCCAGGCACCATTAAACAATAACAGCAACTGGCTGCGTATCACGCCGTTGGAAAGGACGGCTTTCTTCGTCAGTGTTTAACGCCGAAAGTTACCGACCAAGCGCCAGATTTCAGTGACTTTGCAGTAAGACCCTTTTGGTCTCTGAGATGTCCAGTTCACCAGAATGCAATGGACGGTGTTGACCCTAACTTTTGACCACCAAAGGCTAATCAGTTCATCCTTGACTCAGATTGGACGTTTGTGCCAATATTGAAGAAACTCTCTCAAGGTATTCTTGAGATATCGTGTTCACAAGAATGAGACAGATGCAACGTCACAGTGACCTTTGACCACAAAAATCTATTTAGTTCATTGTTGAGTCAACGTGGACATCTGTGCCAAATTAAGATATTGCGATATGTCAAATAATAATGTCGTCACTGACCAAGTGCCGGACTGTTATGACTTCGGAGTGCGACCAGGTTGGCAAAAGTACAGCCTTCCTGACTGAACTTTAGCTAGAGCTTCATTTCCAAAACAGCATATACTGGAGGCATGGTCCTTGGTGACCCCCCACCCCGACTTTTCCTCTAGCACCATGAAGGAGCTGACATTTGTGGTTTTGAGTGAAATTAAACCTCTTGGTTATGGTGAGTAAAAGGTCATGGGGTTAGGGTTAGGCTTTTGGCTTAAAATACCCAGTTTGGGGGCACAATCCCTGCTGGAAATGCAGCGATGTCTTACGCCGGAATTCCACTGGATGCGTGTCCGTTGCAGAGCGGCTGCGCTGGTTATCCACTGCGTGCTCCACCATCCGTCAACACCCACCGGCTGCATTTGCTGTGCGGAGCGGTGCAGCTCCGTCTGACAGCAGGAGTCACAGGGACCCACGAGATCTCGCGTATTCATGCATAATCGCGCGATATAATAAGATGTAGTTTCTATGAACAGAACCACAAAACCAGAGGAGTAGCAGGAAGACATCTCAATGCACCTCCATGATTAACATCTCCTCGTCCATGGTGTCAACGGGGTGAAATGACGTCTGAAAACCTCTGACCTGTTGACTTCAGGCCTGCCTCCGCCCATTATGACACTTTCAAGGTGTAGTGCAGGGAAATATGATCCGCCGTGAAGACTGTGTATTTTATTTTGAAAATTAACCAGATGTTTTATTTTGTTTCTGTGCACGACTTCCTGCCCCGCACGATCTGCTC